AAAACCATTTAAATTCTGTAATATTCTAGATTCAAAATAAGATAAAACCAAGATTTGATAATAGATTAAGGGTCCGATTGGTACGGCCCATTCAAGTAGAGTTTATAGGAGAAGGGTTTATCGAAGTATAGCTTATGAGAACATAATTTTTTTAAAAAAAATTAATAGTTGTTTGGTTAGAAAATTTTTAAAAAGCTTTCTAGTGTTAATTTACCAGATTGGCTTTAATATACAAGAATAAACCAAATAAAAAGTATATTAAATAAAATTAGGGTATTTTTGAAATTTCAACACGTTAAATGAACTTAAATGGAGTTTATAGGAGAGGCTCAAATTTCTAACTTCTCTCGTAAGTTATAAAATAACTTATTTTAAATCTCATAGGGTGCGTTTGACTTATTGTTTTTATCTATATTCCCAATCATATTCTTCAAATGTTGTTTGGCATATTATTTCTAAAATAGTAGTCTATTTTTTAATTACTTTTAGACCCTATAAGTTTATTAATTTCATTAAATAACCCCTAGAAAAAAAGTTAAAAACTAACAAAAATACCCCCATCCACAATAGTTGCTAGATTCTGGCAACCACCGTCGGTGGTAGCCGGAATGTGTCACAACAGTCACAACACCACCGGAAATGGCTGGTAATGGACAGATTTGGTTGGAAAATGCCAGATCTGGCCGTCAGCGACGGCCAAAGATGGCCTTTACCGGTCTGTCGAAGGCCACATCCGGCCTTAGATCTGGCATTTTGCTACCAGATCTGTGGTGGATATGGCCGGAAAAGGCTATATCGATCGAATACCCGCCAGATCCTACTGGTATGTGTGGTTATCCAATTTTCCGGCCAGATTCCGGCAATGGTGGCTGGAATCTGGCACTGCAGGTGATAGGGGTATTTTTGTCATTTTATAATATTTTAATATATTAGGGTGTTTATTAAATTAGCAAACCTTAGGGGCTTTTTCATAAATTTTTAAATTTAATCTCGTAATACTCTCCTATCCAACTATCCAATACTATCCCCAAAATCCTACCCAAAATAATAAACCAAACGCATCCATAAGTGCTTGTGAGATATTACCAAACACTGTCAAAAAATTCAAAAGTGATTATAACTTTAAATAAGTTTTTTTGTTGTCGGTAGATAAACCCAATTAAACAGGTTCTAATTAAACTAAATTATATAAAATTTGATTAAATAAATAAGCAGCAGACATTTTTCAATTACTTTTATTTTTCAAACTATAATTTTTTTTTTATGGTTAAGGTGTCTGGGTTAGTTTGCAAGCAACTCAATTAATCCTTTGGGACCCTAGAACTTTGATCGGATAAAAACTCTAGTGGTCACCCCTATTAGCAACCAAAGTGAATCAAACTCAAAACCTCTTGATAATACACCCAAAAGTCATAGTTGATCACTTGACCACCCTGTAATAGTTTCGAAATATAAAATTGCTTGGCCTAAACAACACACTGTACCACGGTTTAATAAAAGTGTCATATAGTAAGATAATTACATATTATCTTAATTACTGCGATGGGTCCGTTTATTTAATTATTTTTCCCTATCCTATTAAAAATATTTCCAAAATACACGTTTGTTTCCCTATTCTGAAAATACTATTATATTTTTATTCAACCCCCTAAATTTATTAATTTAACTAAACACCCCCCAAAAAAGTTTAAAAATTAACAAAAACACCCTCACCCACCCACATTTGCCAGATTCTGACCACCACCGTCGAAAGGTGATCAGAATCTAGTATAATAGTATACTACTGGCTGGATCTGGCTGGTAGTGTATCGATCTATCATTTACTGACCAGATCTACGGCCAAAGATTTTGCCGTAGCTGGTCTTCAATGACGATCATATCTTTGGTTGTTGTTGACGACCAAACACGGTCAGTTCTGGCATTTTCCAGCCAGATCCAAGGTGGATCTGGCTAGAAAAGGTCATCTCGATGTATGATCGGCCAGATCTAGTCAGTCGTACACCGTAATACTAGATTCCGACAGTGGTGACCGGAATCTGGCAACTGTGTGTGGTGAGGTGTTTTTGTTATTTTACAAAAAATTTATATATTGGAATGTTAAGTTAAATTAGTAAACCTAAGAGATTTTTTTGTTAATTTTTAAATTATACATCTTAATAATTACCAAACTCTATTTAACAATAATATTTCAAAAATACCGCTTAAAATAATAAAACAGACACATATGTGCGAAGACTTTTGATCCCAATTCCCAAGTCATGAGGTAATTATAATATTTAATTCAACTTTCTTAATTAGCAGATGATGTAATTGTATATTAATGTCAACAAGATTCAATTTTTAATGACTAATTAATAGCAGTGAAATTCATGTGGCTGGCTGCATATGTTTTCTGACAATATTATAATATAAAAAATTAAGTTGATTTACAATCTTATGTGGATTTGTATATCTTGCTGATTATACAAACATATTTTATGAAAGAAGATTGAAGATTATGGGTAATTTGAACGTAATTTTATTATAATTAGTCTTGATCAATGACACAACCTATAAGTTATAGCAATATGCAACCTGAGCTTTCACATAGAGTTATTAAAATGGCTGCTAATTTTCAGTAAATCAATATAAGAAATTAAAATCAAATATTATCTGCTTATAATCAACATTTCTTTTAAATGGGAATTTACAAGTTCAAATCAAAGTATGAGTTGTTAATGAGATAAATTAATTAGTATTAACAAAATATTAACATTGATTAATCCAAAATAGACAAGCACAACTACCTTTAATTGGTCGAGTAGTTCGATAGGGATTCTTGAGTATATTACTCAAGAGGTTTGAGTTCAAGTCCCTCTTCAATCTCTTTTTAGGATCATTAAAAATTAGTTAAGATATACGTAAATTAGCTCAGATACCCGATAAAAAAAAAAAAGTAGATAAGCACGTGTAACCGGGACTTTAAATAAAGGAAAATCAAAATTTTGGTAAACAGATACATTCAAAAACAAGACAAACTAGCGTGGATGAATTGTTTCCTTGTCAAACTCCAAAAAATATTTTTCCTTTCAAGTTCTGTGCACCTTCTATTAGTATTTATAAAATTCAAAGGTTATTGTCAGCCGGATTTCGTCACATCTGATTGTATAAGGAGTGTTTATGATATGAATGCTTACGTATATTTTTATGGACTGAAAATTTTAATATTTAATCAATAACTGTGACGCAATAGCTTTAATTTTGACCGTTGAAGTGAGATTTCCTAAGAAGGTGGAATGATTAATTAATTAATTGATATTTCAATGTCAAGTTGCCTATCAAAATATTAATTAATTTATTAAATTGTTAAGCATTAACCACAAACACGCTATTCACACATTATCGTACTTTTCCTTTAGCTTTTTTTCCCGCATGAGGTTTAGTTTCATAATAGACCAGTTACACCGATAGAAACGTAATATTATGTATACAATATCATATGATAAAAGATGATTGATTAATTGATTTTAAATCAAAAATAAACTTTTATCTAATCATTTTTTGTCATATTATATTATATGAAAAATATTATATGAAAATATTGTATGTATAATATTATAGAAACTTTATAAAAAGTTAATTCAGACACAAAATTTTGATACAACGATTAATATATCCTTATTTTGTCTTTTCACGTACAATAAAAAAAGATAATATTTAATATTTGTCACATGATTAAAATGTTAAATATATTAAATGATTTTAAAATATTAAATATTGATAATTTGATAAGACATTTGAGAAATAAACAATTTGTTTTTTTTATTATGCCGTCTATTTTGTCCTTCATAAGTAGGGTGAACATGGATAAAGGGTAAAACCCGAACTGTTATCGGGTCCATTAGGGTTCGGTTTCGGTTCTAGAAAATTAGAACCAAAATTTTTTGAGTTCGGTTTCGATTCCTATAATACTGGATCGAGAACCAAAATCGGAATCAGAACCGAGATCCGGGTATCCTTGTAGAAATTGAGATTGAATTATAATTTTTATAAACTATTGGGGTGTATTATAATTTTTGGGGGTGTATTTGTCATTTTTAAAAAATAGGGGGTAATTAAAATAATTCTAATACTCAAACTGAAACCGAAACCTATGTTATAGGTTTCGATTCCAAGTTTCTAGGAACTGACCGGTTTCAAATCTTAGGAACCGACCGATTATGATTCCTTAAAAAAATACAGGGTACTTGGAACGATCACCTTTAATTCATAAGCATCATTTAATTATAAGAGTGAAGTATTTCATCTAGAAGGTACCAGTGTTTATTTATGAAATCTATGGGTCTATTTTTCTTTCACTAAACTTGGGGTATGCCTTGGGTTTACCTTCTCTTCTTAACGTGCTCCAATTTTTTTTTTATTTTTTCCGATTTTCACATTGACATGCGATGCGAGCGTTTGTTTTTTTCAGGACACTGAAAGATAAATTTTGAATATTTTGAAAATGATAGAAATTATGTGAATTTTAGAGAATTTTTTTTTTTTTTTTTTTTTGGTAGAATGAATGTTACAAAAGAGAATCAATCATATATGTATTTCCAAAAAATTGAATCTTCTTGTATGGTTATTGGCAATGTTTTAATAATTCTTTCCGGGAAACATTGAGTAACGAAACGAGTATCCTTTCTTATTATTTTTACTATTTCTGTACGCTGGACTTTGTCGTGTTGTCATGCTATTAAGGTAATAGTAATACACGTGTACCGCGTAAAGAGGATTCTATGACTTTAAAAGTCAAAAGTCTACCCTATACACCCTGCTTCCTCATCAAGCAACGGCGGCGTGCTTCCACCCTTTCGTCTATAAATATCCCTTCAAAGTCCAACACTTCCATAGATTGGCGACTGCAGAGAAGAAACGTACCTCTGTTCTCTTTTTCATCATCATCCACCAACAATAATTTCCTATTTTTTCCTCGCAAACTACCAGAAAATTCTATTGATAATATTTCTGATAAAAAAATGCCGAGAAAGGGAATGAGAAGCATTTGCTTTAACCCCAGAACGACGTCGGTGATTTCTCTCCCTCGCCATTCAAGAGCTTCTCCCGCTCGAATAACACATCTTCCCAGCTTTTCTGAATCTACGACAATGGAGCAAATCATTGAATTCGCAACGGCAATGATCACGAAATGGGATCCGGACTCATCAACGTTTGCTAGAGTCACTTCTCTCTTTTACGAGGATAAGGGAGAAGCCATGCAGTTCTTGAAGTGCGTTAACGATCTGCAGAAAGCCATGCAGTTGTTAGTTTCAGAGAATTCAGCTTCTGAAAAACTCATCCAAGCCCAAAACTTGATGCAAATTGCCATGAAGAGACTACAAAAGGAATTTTATCAAATTCTCTCCATGAACCGGGCACACTTAGACCCGGAATCAGTATCCACAAGATCATCAAGATCAGCCAGATCCAGCATTTCAGATTTCGAGGACGATGGCTCACCGGAAGACGATGATGTTCGAGTAGCAGGCGATTCCATCTCCGAAGTAGAAGAGGTATCTTCAATCGCCATGTCGGATTTGAAATCTATTGCAGATTGCATGATTTCTGCAGGCTATGCTAAAGAATGTATAAGAATATACAAAATCATACGCAAATCCATTATCGATGAAGGCATTTACCGTCTCGGAGTGGAACGATTCAGCAATTCTCAAATCAACAAAATGGCCTGGGAAACTCTTGAAGTGAAAATCAAGAACTGGTTAGACGCCGTGAAGATCGCCATGAGAACACTCTTCAACGGAGAAAGAATCCTCTGCGACCACGTCTTCGCTTCCTCGGACTCCATTAAAGAGTCGTGCTTTAGCGATATCTCCAAAGAAGGAGCCTTAATTCTCTTTAGTTTCCCTGAACTCGTCGCCAAAACGAAGAAATCACCTCCAGAGAAAATGTTTCGTGTACTTGGTATGTACACCGCCATAGCCGAAAACTGGCCGGAGATTGAATCAATCTTCTCCCACGAATCAAACTCCACCGTCCGATTACAGGCTCTCAATTCACTCGTCAAACTCAGCGAGACAGTGCGTGCAATGGTTTCCGATTTCGAGTCTTCAATACAGAAAGACTCATCGAAATTCCACGTCCCCGGCGGTGGAATTCATCCCTTAACTGACCAAGCAATGAAATATCTCTCTCTCCTTGCCGATTACAGTAACGTTCTAACCGATATTCTCGCCGACTTGCCTCCGCCGGCGAAATCATCCTTGCCGGAATCCTACTTCGACAGTCCAGACTCCACCGACGCTCCGGCGCCGGCCATCACCTTACACGTGGCGTGGCTCATTCTCGTTCTTCTCTGCAAACTTGATAGCAAAGCGAAGCTTTACAAGGACGTTTCTTTGTCTTACCTATTCTTGGCAAACAATCTTCAACACGTCGTATCAAAAGTCCGTACATCAAATCTCCAATACCTCCTCGGTGACGAATGGATTAACCAGAACGAAGCAAAAGTGAGACAGTTCGCCGCCAACTACGAGCGGGTAGCATGGGAACAAGTCTTCAAATCATTACCGGAGAATCCGACGGCCGCGATTACACCGGGTCAAGCCAAAGACTACTTTAGAAATTTTCAGTCGAGTTTTGAGCAAGTGTATAACCAACAGAGTTCGTGTATCGTGCCGGACCCGAAATTGCGGGACGAGATTAAAGTGTCGATTGGGAGAAAGCTGGTGACGAAATATCGGGAGTTGTATGATAAGCATAGATTAACATTGGGAGGAGAAAGAAATGCCCGGATGGTGGTGAGATTTTCCACTGAAGATGTGGGAAATTACTTGTCGGACCTGTTCTTTGGAACGATTGAAGGTTCCGGAAGTACGGGTTCGTCTTCTACTTCGTCTTCTCTCCATCGGCGGCATTCGCGGTTGAAAGCTTAGAGTTTCAAATTGATGCATTATTATTTTAAGGATTAGTATACCATTTTTCTGGGATATGTATATATTTTATGTATTATTGATTAGATAGATTATTAGAGAATAATACAAGTGAATTTATGAATCTTCTCTATTTCTTCCTCCGAATATCTCTCGTTTGTGTCTGTAAAATGCATGCAGTGCATGGACATTTCCACACTGTTCGGATCCAAATTATTTTGGACTCTGCACAATCCTTTCACCTCAATAATTGATTTCTACTTTCACACTTGATATTTCCAGCCGTTTAAAAAAAAAAAAAAAAAAAAACAAGAGTATTAAACTATCTCTAGGTGGCCGAGTAGTTCGATAGAAACTCTTGAATGTATTACTCAAGAAGTCTTGAGTTCGGTCCCTCCTCGTTCGCTAATAGAGATAACCACTAGAGCTTTTACCCGATCGATAGTTCTAAGGTCTCAGAGGATTAGTTAAGGTATGTGAAAACTGACTTGAACACCTGGTTATAAAAAAAAAAGTATTAAATACAATTAATAATATTATTTATACTGTTGCGAAATGGTATTCTTTTATGTCACCATAGACTTTTAACAAAGGCGGATGTGGCATTTCTGAAGGCCTTTTCAATTGTGTATTGCACCTGAAATATCAGTGGAAATTTTCAAGAGAATATCTAGAAAATTCACAGTATGAACTAAAACAAAAGAAAATTCTAGGAGATTATCATGGTGGAACTATTAGACATATGAATGATAAAGACATTTCAAGTTTCCGAAGGAGACGTGAAAAGACTGTCATTTCTCAATCTCATACGCCAAACTTGAAACCTATAAGTCAAATGATACAGCTGTTTTCATGGTAAAACGGAAGAATCTTAAATAGTTTTTTTAGAAGATAATTTATTTACAATTAAAAAAAAAAAATTGATTGATTTCAAATTTGTCATTCATAAATATTAAATACAGTATACATTATACAATATTTCAGTTTGTAATTGAATTTCAATTTAATTCTCAACTTGCACGCTTTTGAATGCTGGGCCGCAAGCAACATTAATTTGGTGCTAAGTTTTGAGCCATTTCGTGGGGAATTACAAATTTCAACGCCAATTGTTTGTGCCCTTTGTAACATCATGTTCAACTTGGCGGTGGCCCTTTCAAGAACTATTGGCTGATTCTGGCACCGAAATTCAATGAAAACGATGGAAAATAAGTGCAACTTTGGCCATGTGAAAAGTCGAAACAATTAATAATCTGTGTAATGGATACGGAATTACGGACCCAGATCAATCAATTTACAGTATTATGATATTGACTATTAAGTAAAACGTCCCTCGTATAGTTCAAGTCCACCATATGGATTAAGACAAAAATGGCTAAAATAAAAATAAAAGCCCAACCCCACATGACCAAATTACCATTAACTAATCTAATGTAGCGTTTAAAATACAATATGGATCAATTCCTGAACCTGCCATTTTCAACGATCAATAGTGTAGAGGCTCACCAAGGGACACATATCATGATTTTGGGTCCATTTGTCTTGTTATTTTGGATAAGATTTTAGAAATAGTATTGAATAATTAAGTACGGTGATTATTATGAGGCAAAATTTAAAAATTAACAAAAAAAAAAACCTTCGGTTTGCTAATTTAACTAAACACCCCAATATATAAAATTTTTATAAAATAACAAAAACACCCCCACCTGAAATCTAGTTGGCATCTGACGTTACGACATAGACCAATCAGATCTGACTGTTCGTACATCGATCTAGCCTTTTTCAGTCATATCCACCACGGATCCGGTGGAAAAGACCAGATCTACGACCAGATATGGCTGTAGGCGGCCGCAAAAGGCCAAATCTGGCCGTCAACAACGACCAAAGATATGGCTATTGTTGTCGGTCAACGACGGCTAAATCTAGCCTTTTCTGGCCAGATTGGCGAATCACCAGCCAGTTCTGGTCGTTTGTACGCCGTTGTGATAGATTTCGACTACTTTCGATGATAGTTGCCAGAATTTGGCAACTATGGATGGGTGGATAAAGGTGTTTTTGTTAATTTTAAACTTTTTTTTCCTAAGGGTGTTTAATTAAATTAATAAACTTAAGGGATCAAAAAGTAATTAAATAAAATATAATAATATTTCATAAATAATAGAACAAACAGTTATTTTGATAATATGATTGAGAATAGGGTATGGAATAATAAACTAAACGGACCTTATTATTTCATTTTTGTTATCCTTAAGAACTTCAAAGATAGGCTGCAATATACAAGCAGCAAATACATTTACATTGCACATAGAAAGGCAATAAGATCATAGAAGAAATCCAAGCAAAAAACAAAACGAAGGAACAGAAATTGAAGCATAGATGTTTATAGATATTTATAGTAAGGCTACTCAGCAGCTAACACTTGATCGGCTGGCCGGTGGACATTCTGCCATCCCGTACAGTGATGGAGCACCTGTTTGAGAGCATCGGTAGGAGGCTCAACTGTCCATACTGGGTAGAATTCACTTGGGTGAAAGATGCTATGTTCACTAATCCCGGTCATCAACCCTGCTTGAGTTCCAGCAATGAACAAATCCCCATCTGACTTTATGCAGCCAGTCCTTCCCTCTTCACTGTCAGCTGCCTGGAACCAAAAGAACAGTTAACAAATTCATTTCTCATCAATCAAGTAACATGTTAAGCCACAAGCGAGATTATATCTCATTGATGAGCAATATTCAAGCATTTCAGTAAGATAAAGAATTACCATAATACAAGTTAAATGTTAAGTAATAAGCAAAACGATCATATTCTATGGTTCCAAACTAAAATTGTCACATTGGCACCTTTTTGGTAGAAACAGAAGCACAATTATGAGGCATATTTTGGTTGCGTATATGTGGGTTAACAGCCCAGAAAAATAAAAAATGCACAAACGCAATTGGAATTTTCTATCATTTTTAGAGCCAGATTCAACGAAAATAGTCTTGTGTTTGAATACACTGTTACATTTGTTAAATTATAATTTAGGTTTGTGTTCAAGGTTGTCATTGCATCCAATTCACATAAGGTAGTGTGTTAGAGTTAACATGCTATTATTGGATTTTTACCCAGCTCTAGCTTTTGGGTTTGTGTTTACTTAACATTATAAATGAAGTTTCCAAATATATAATGATTCTTTTTTTTTTTATCTAGTGTGAGACAAAGCAGATAGCATGAGAAGGTAAAATTTGGCAGAGGTTCATGGGCTTCAACTTGGTTTCTGCACAAACTATCAACAATTAGGATGAATCTATTTTTGAGTTTCAATCTATTTCCAGTCCTTGCTAAGTCAGGATGATGGCCTTTACACCCATCACATGATATAAACAATTCTCCTAACATCATATTACACACCTGACCATGCCAAGATCTAACACAGTTAAGATCGATGATATCCAAAGATCCTGAAGTGTTTCAAATGCAGTCTAATCTAGTTACCATTATAAATTGTATTAACATTCAGAACTTTTAAAAAAAAAAAAAAAAATTCTTTAGAGGTTGACATCATAAGAAATAAAATTTGTGGAGAGGAATATTGTTTTCAACATCCTAAAACTTGGGGCAGTTTTGATGGTGTTGAGCTCCTGAAGTCTCTTTCACCATAATTTTAGAAAGATACTTCAGGCCACAAGCTTATGGAAAAGAAAGCACAAAGTTTACTGCCCTCGGGGAATTATGTGCAAAAAAGCCATTTGCCAACTATTTGTATCCCCCCACTGAGAGATGGGATCATTCATTTTTCTCTCCAAAGTTGACGAGCATTGGCGGCAGTCACTAGGGTGGACCGATTGCTTTTGATACTTTATTAACCAACTAGTTAAAAGTTCTGGAATAATACTATACCAACAATCCTCTTTCACAAATTTTCTCTCACAACCCTGACGTAACAGCTCGCAATTGGTCAGTTCACAATGATCCCACATGGGTTTCGCATGGGTCCCACTAATTAATTGCGAGCTGACCAATTACGAGCTGTCACGTCAGGATTGTGAAAGAAAGTTTGTGAGTAAGGATTGTTGGTGTAATATTACTCAAAGTTCTGGGACTTCTACTCGACACAACTTAGATATTTATCTATAAATGAATAAAAGGTCCTCCAGAGCACACACTTGAACTGAATTCTGACTACGTTCTACTCCAGAAAATTTTCACCATTTTTCAATGGCATCAGTCTTTTAAGCCCATACATGGTTGAAGCCTAAAAATCAATATGGTAATGCAGATAAACAATTGAAGGGGAAAAAAAACTCACCTTCTCAGTAAGATACTTAAATGCTACCTTCTTTTGTCCCCTTCATATATATTACATTGGGAGTATATCTGATGTCAAAAGCAAATATCAAGATATTAGGGAACAAAACCATAATTCAGTTATGCCCTCAAAAGTTCAAAAAGAGTCTGAACCAAAAGCTCATTTCAAATTGTTGGAAGTATTATCACCTGTGTTCCACACTGGCAAAAACAGCAAATCCCCAGTTTCTGGTGTAATTATTGTAAGATGTACTTTTGCAAATCTAACAGAGGATGTCGCTGTCGAGTCCCATCAAAAACAGTGGTGAATGGTCACTCTAATACATCTATCACCAATGTGAGAGGGGTCTCCTCCGATGAGCATTGTCTTGTCATGGGAGAAAGTACACCTGCATAAAATGCTTAAAGATATCAAGAAGTACAATCTTATTACTACACAAAATCTTAAAGAGTGAGACAAACCCACCTAGATATTGTAATACTGTGCTTCCACGGGTCATATCTATCAGCCCATCCTCGTAATCACGGAGGCTACAACGGTCTATCCATATATGTTTTGAGTTGGGTTTTATTTGAATGCCTCCACATCATGTCCTCTGCCACCTTCAAACTCTAGATTACATATTATAACATGTTCACATTCACTCAGCCTCAAGCCCTTCCCTGTAAGTTTTATCCTTTGGCCGCGGCCATCTTGTTTTATAAGACGAGACACTCAAGTAAGAGTAAGCTGGATGGTGCCTGACACTTCAAACACACCAAAGTGGTTCTTTTCTTCGACATCCTTCGCGAAGTGATCCTGGCCCATCTACAACCCCACACACACAAATGCAGAAAAAAGGAATGATTAATATCAAAAGCCACTACAAAACAGATGGTTCTAACTAATTTACTATCACCAAAAGTTCGTCTAAACCCAACAGTATAATCTCCAATTAGAGTAAAGATAA